GGGATTCCATCTTTTCATATTGGCCGAAAGCTACTTTAAGGGGAATGCTCATCGAAGCTGGTACTAAGAAGAACAAGTACGCAAAGAATCTTGCCTAAATCCCAAAAAAAATCGACGAAGCAAAAGTGAAGGTCAGAGATACACGGCCCATGATCGATTCACCGAAGCATTCTGACGATCTCTCACGGCAGCTGAAAAAAATACTTGCCGGTCGTTGACCTTTCCAGATAAGAAAATGACGCTAATTGATGCATAATCGCTCATCAGCTGTCCGCTTTGTCACGCACCTCATTTTATTCCCTATTCAACAATTAGTTGGTTCCTGATATGCTTTGCGGTGCTTCTAATCGGAAAGTGCAAGCGATGCAAAAGAAACTGTGACGAGCGTAGATGTTCCGACCGTTTTTTCGGGACATGTATGCGATTTCTACAGACCGCTTGCTCCGGTTCCGTCTGCGCCCCAACAGGCAGCGGCGTCGACGGGGTGGTGTCGGTGATGGTGACGATGGTCGACGAGGCGTAGGCGGAGTCACAATCTCGACCAAGTACAAAAGGCGCAGCCGTCTTCGCTACTATCACCACATCCATCCAGCTCCATTTCATATCCCCTTCCTACAGCTATCCCAAACACAGCCGACGAAGAGAGCGAAATGGAGTCAGACGGCCGAACGAAGGCCTACAAATTTGTAGCCTACGCTGCTGTCTCTTTCTCAATTGTCGCAGTACTGTCCGTAGTACTCACACTGCCTATGGTCTATAATTATGTAAACCATGTACGACGACAAATGCAACATGAAATTTCCTTTTGTAAAGTGAGTTCTTCAGATTACCAGCTACCTCTATTTTTGCATTGCATTGGTTCAACTCACGACATCTCCCTTCAATTTCTATTTCAAGAAGTTATATTCTCAAATTTCTAAGCTCAATCCTTCAGGGATCTGCTAAGGACATTTTCGCTGAAGTCAACTTCATGAAAGCTCATACTGGCCCATCAGCTCCAAGAAATCGTACTGCCCGTCAATCAGGTTACAGCTCCCCTGAAGTTAATCCTGCACCAAATCTCCAATGTGAAGGTTGCTGCTTACCCGGTCCGCCTGGACCGGCAGGGGTACCCGGAAAGCCTGGAAAGCCTGGACGCCCGGGAGCGCCTGGTACTCCTGGAATACCTGGTAAGCCACCCACTGCACCATGTGAACCCACCACACCACCACCATGCAAACCTTGCCCACAGGGCCCACCCGGGCCACCTGGACCTCCTGGACCACCCGGAGATCCAGGAGAGGCTGGAACCCCTGGACGTCCTGGAAACGATGCACCCAACGGACAGCCCGGACCTCGCGGACCACCTGGACCCGCAGGAGAGCCAGGACAGCCAGGACCTCAAGGAGATCCTGGAGTACCAGCGCAGAGTGAACCGCTCACTCCTGGAGCACCCGGAGAGCCTGGGGACCCAGGTCTGATTTTACTTTTGCTATTTTTTATTTTATTCTATTCTAATGCTTTCACAGACAATTTCTGAAAGAAGTGCATCATCAATGATTCGTTATAGGACCAGCCGGACCTCCCGGTCCCCCCGGAGCACCTGGAAATGATGGAGCACCTGGACCAGCGGGACCCAAAGGAGCGCCAGGACCTGATGGACCTCCTGGAGTGGATGGGCAGGCAGGGCCTCCTGGACCTCCTGGACCTCCCGGTATCGCCGGAGAGAAGGGTATTTGTCCCAAATACTGCGCCATCGACGGTGGAGTGTTCTTCGAAGATGGAACTCGTCGCTAGTTCTACAAACGACGGCCACAAAGACCTCTTCTCCTCGCCGGATGACTGGCTGCGATGCTGGCGTCGTTCAGCTGTCATCGGTGTACTCGTATTCATTTCCTCGTCACTATCTTACCACTCATTTCGGTGCAATCAATCTACCTGAGTCGCTAATAAAATCTCTTGTCTTCACTTGAAATTTTGCTGTTCTGGTCTGTCTTTGAAGCGTACATTTTTTTACCGTACGCGCTGCTTTCACCCACACACAAATATTGATCCCTAAACCGATCAATGGCATTTTGTACATCGAGTCATATTAACGACTTGTATGTAATGTGCATTCCCTTAAAATCACTGAATTATTTTAAGGAGCTGAAGCCTTAATGAAACTATTGATGCTTCATTTATGATCGCCATGGTGAATTGTGTGTATTGAAGTTTGTACTATCGACTCGTTCAAAATTTAATAAATTTAGCGAAAGAAATCGAGAAAAACGTGTATCTTGCCGAATTTGTGAGGAATGCAAAAGGACCTTTGCCCAGTTCGAGATTTGATGAGTGTCGTCGGGGCGCACTCCAGGCCGACAGTGTCGCATCGTCAAGTCACTTAGCAAGTTTCGGTCGGTCAGTGTCACGACAGTCCGAACTCTGCACATATCCATGATGAAAACATCCTCATCAAGAAACGGAGAAAGGAACATGGACGAGATCAATCACTAGGCCTCAAACTATGAGAATGCGTTATCGCATTATCGTTTGGTTTGCCGCGTTACACTCGAGCAGTTAGCCACTCAGCTGTTACTTGACTCTCAAAATTGACCGATCGAACTTTACGACTGATGATCCCCTTAGAACGTCAATCCATGCAGCTCATCATTTCGAGAAAGGCTGTAGAAAAACAACCTTGTACGGCTCGGATTCTGCGGGTTCAACCATGTCTAATCACTTCAAAAGAATCCCATATACTCCTATATCTATCAAACACTGCATAAAAATTCGCTTACACAAAAATCTTTCTTCCAGTAATCAGCTGCTATACTTGCTCCATCTAGACCAATGATTGCCAGATTGAATTTCTGGAATGTGGGCAAGTGAAAGGATGGGGATGTAGATGTTGGCTACGAAGAGCTAGTCAGAACAGAGTTAATCATTCCTTGTGAAATGCATGGATCGGGTAGGTTACCACGCAAATAGCATGTGAGGTACATAAAGGTACGTGCAGTGGCTTACTGTTTTTCAAGTCGGTATTTTTATCGTACATTACAAATCTGCCGCAAACTGTAGGACTTGACTCTAGCGAAGAAAACAATGGGAGCGAGGGGTTTGAATTTTGTCGTGGAAGCTTCCAATCACTACTCCATCTCAGACAGAAATGAGTCATCGTGGAATGGATTTCATTGTAATCAATAGGAAGGGTATCGTTAGTGATGGACAGGCACATTTTCATAAACAGACTCAAAGTTGAAGCCTTAGTCTACCTGACCCATATTGCTCGAGTTATGTAACACCTCTATGGCCCATGAAAGATACGGGCCTGCGCTAAATAAGCCCGTCATAAACCAGGAACGGTCTTCTCATTGACTATTATGTATGGTTGCTTCAGAATTTTCACGTGTTTTAAAAAATCTATAAGGCTAACGTTTCGGCAAAATTCGTTAGAGGCTGAGAATCAAAGAACGATTGGNCCATACACAAGCAGGGTTCACCTTGTAAGTCGCCGAAGCGTTAGGTCGACCACCCAGAAATTAACATCCGCGAACAGGTCCAAGCCTACTTCCTTTACGACCTCAATTTAATTTAAAAATTGCAGAGATGGAGAAAGGGCGCGATTTCAGGGCCACGGCCGGACATTCTTACTTCCAGTTGACTTGTCGATCCATAGCTGCAATCCAGCACGACTCGAGTGCTTCCCGCGCCGTAGTGTCAGTTTCTAGCGCCAAGATGTTTACTGAAGTTGTAATCGGTTCCATCACGACGCAGAATTCGATGCGTTCCCGGTGGTGTTTGAATGCAAGGCTTTCTTAGCCCCTCCATCTGGTTTTCAATTCGCACATGAAGGAGGTGCCCTGTTTCACCAGTATGCTCAGCACCACAGGCCTTACATCGAATTTCGTAAATGACCCCTGCTCTCATTCAGTTCCCCCGCCGATTGGAAGGACACATAAAGCAATCTGGAGTGCCACATAAGATGTCATGTAGGCAGTTGGCGAGGAGGTTTTCGGGGGATATTTCCACAACCATGACTTCTTCCTGTAAAACACACCTAGACAAACTTACTCGAAATGATTTGCTCTTTTCTTCGATTATGAGCGGCAAACAAGGACCACCTTACTAAGAGCGGCTCGTTCACAAATTCGATGAGGAGGAAAATGCCTCTCACATTGTGAGCAACTGAGGCAGCGAGGATATCCATTGAACAACCCAACTCTTCAAACCGTTTCCATCGATTCTGTCATGAGATCAGTGTCAGGGGAGACCCTATTGGCAACTCTGCTGATAACAGATTGTTTTGCTCTAATGGGGTGGGTCGAGCACTAGTGAATAAGAATATTCTTACAGCCAGGCTTACGGTACCATTCGGTCCGCACTTCCTCGCTCTCTGAACCTGGATATTAAGAAATGGTAACCAGTCCTCCTTCCCGCATTTCTGTGTTGGCTTTACATATGAGACCGTCCTAGAAACTCAGTAGTTGCTCACGATCTTATGTGTCACCCGAGGGGTTATTGATTGAGCCGGTGCAAAGCTAGAACCTGATTCCAACAATGACAACTCTTCTTCGGGAAAAGCAATGTTGCCTAAAACAATGACTCGAGAGCTGTATAGTTGCTCCACTCTGCTAAAGCATGGTGTTCTCCATTGTTAAGGAGTCGGTAAACACTACTTGTATTCCACGAGCCCGTTTTTGATCTTCCAACTTATCGAACTTGTCTTTCAGCCTTGTCTTTGCCTTACTTCAAACCAAACCACAAAGATTCCTCGAATTACCCACTGATCCCCTCCAAAGGCGCTAACTCGCCTACAACACCTCTTCTAAAACACACTTGCTCAGATCGCCTTCCCAATTTTAAAAAATAGGACTTTAGAGCTCGTCTTTCATGTTGCTGCCTGGATTAGTCACCTGTTCGCCTAGTTACTTTGACTGTTACTCAGTAGCATGTACTTATACAGTAAAAATTAGCGAAGAAATCGTTGACATTTGCTCAAACCATCGCACTGGCGGTGGCTGAAGAACTCGTTGTTCGTGAACTAGATACATCAGAACAAACAAATGAGCCAAGTCTGCCTCTGTCGCATCCAACCTTCTTCTCGGCATCATTTTCTCTCTAACAGCTTTTGCGTGATCTTCACTGGTTCAAAACAGTAGAAAATTATGTTCCTACCAGCATTGAAACGCCAACACTTTTTTATTATGAGGAATTATCAATACCCTCCGATAAGGCACCTTGAAAAACATTAGGTAAACATTAAAAAGACGAAACGGAGCTAAATATTTGCTCTCCATCAAATCGTTTTCTAATCAGAAATCAGAATTATAAACCGTATGGCTATTTTGCACCTAATTCTTTTCACATTGTCATTGGGAAATGCAGGCATTGGATCTTGGAGCCTATTAGCATCAATGGACTAGAAGAAGCATCGCAATGGAAGAGGAAAGTTTTAAGGGAGGCAAACTCTAAGTAATTTCAAATGATATGATACTCTCAGAATATTCACCTGGTAAGTGTGAAGGATCTCTTTCCTGTTTTCACCTTTACTATCGAATGATAACACAACCCTGATTACCTAAGTGCTAATCAGTCTCCTTTTTATGAGACTAATATTTTCAATAGGGAAGATAAAGTGAAGCAATATGTGCAAAAGTACCAACTGGTACATCGGCTGGCTATCGCAAGTCTTTGTACAGGCCACATACGCATTCATTCGATTTTGAATGGAAGTCGAATGATAATGCAGACGTGACAACTACTGTATGAGTATAAAATGCCTCGCACTGCTATCGAGTTCTCAAAAACAGCATTCTTCTGCAGGAGTTTCTGCTCCCTATAACTCTGGAGTTCATGGAATTTCACCCCTCTGACATCTATCTATCTGAATACTTTTTTGGCTGTATGGATTACATTATTTGTGATTGAGAAGTGAGTTAGAGAAACAAAAATCGTATTGGGAAAGAAGAATCGTTAATGCGTCGATGAGGTACAATCTGCTTCCTCAAGTGATCTCACGTTTTCACTTTTTTTGCATACCGCACGGTCCTAACCCGTAACGTGGCAAAATCCTTTATGAGAAGCCTACGCCGATGGGGTCTCAACTGCATTAACAGGTTGAATTTGATTCCAAGTCTCAGCAGCAAGAAACTCTTTCGAGGTCGCTTTTGATCACATCGCCTTGGCTTCCATCTCCTCAATTAGTGGCCCTTTTTCAATACTTGTTCATCAGTAACTTTGTGACTCAGAAATCAACCTAACTAGCACCACTGTAGCTACCGTAGTGACTATTCTACTGTTATATCTGTTATAATATATTATATTTACATAAGTGATTGAATGGAAAAACTCCTATAATTCTCCTAAAGTTCCGATAAGTGCATCTACTTGTTATTGTTAGAAGGATAAAGTATCAGGTCCTTGGGCGTTACTCAATTCCGTTTGAAAAATGCGCCTTTGCATTCGACTTATATTAATATTACTATTCTTTATCAACATCATAGTTGTTTCCTATTCTTAAACCTGATTATGAGAAGAAATCGAAAGGGTTCTTCTTTTTGAAAAATTGTGACCGATACCGGCAGATGTACAGCCCACTTTGTTCTTGCAGTTTCCGAAAGTCGGACGATCTAGAGATGGGACAGTTTTGGGAAACTGCGGAAAGCTATACGATTTCCAGCGAAGTGGTCTAAGCAGATGACTGATGAATTCTCAGAAAACGGTCCTATTAGTTTGAGCACTCACGCAACAGCGTTTTGCTTTCCTAGCGTATGCCTTTTGCCCATGTAGCCAACTTATCCTTCTTGTCCTTTTCT